CGGCTTTTTATATATATATGATATATATACTCATTACGAGCAAAATTTAGGATATAGATGGATATAGAAAAGTTTGGTAATTTAAGTATACTCGAGTGCGTCTGTATATGTGTATATACGCAAAACCGGTCATAATTCAGAGTAATTAGAAAAAGACTTTACGTCAGCCCCTTGTCATCAAGGCTTAATGACCCAAAGAAAAGAAATTAAGAATGACAGAGATTGCGTCAGTTTGTTAGTAACCCTCGTTGAATTAATGAGATGCAAGTCTGGGCGAGTGAAAGTCAAGTTACGAAACCACCAGTCCGAAACCTTTAGTCTGGGTTATTAAGGTTTAATGACCGAAGGGGAAACATGGCTGGGATTGCGTAGTGCAGCACTTCTGTTTAGGTTTATGGGCTTGACATGAGTGACTGTATATTGTTAGAAGCATCACTCAGCTAACACGTTGAGCCTTCTTCTTTTTTCGTTGGCTCATCACTCTCTCTCTCCTTCAATCGTTCAATCAAGTATAAGGAATTCTTACTTAACTTTCTACCACCATTCCTCACATCTATCGTCTTCCATAATCTAGTAAGTTCAATAGCCTCTCTTATCCTGGGTTTCGTAGCAGACGTACCATAATCTCATGTCCAGTCTCCGCTCAGTGTTTAGCCAATTAGGATCTTTCGATCCAGCTGCCTTTACAAGCATTTTTGCGCTCCGCTAATCTTTGGGGGTTCTGCCGATAGGTCTAGCAAACATAAGTGTCAGAGCTTCCTTGAAAAAATTTCTTTATTCCTCACTTCCTCACTAGTTCTCTTATCTTCCTGGAAAGAAAAGATGGCGCTAAGATTGGAACATAAGAAAGGGTCTCGTCTTGCCTTTATCTAACCAAATAGTCTCCTAAAAATTTTTTCCTCATTGAATATATATTATTTCAATAAAGTCCAAATGATAATTATTCTCCAGGATTAAAACTTTCAGTTTTCTTAAGGCTTCGGTCAGAGGATTTTCCTCTGCAAGCATCATAATCCTCAATAATCATAGATTTAAAAATTCTAACCTTAATTTTGTAACTATAATAAGTATAAAAATTAAGAATAAAATTCGCATATACTAGTTTCCTATAAACATTTCTGCTTAGCATACCACTTCCCTAATAAGCATAACGCCGAAAAAATATAATTTCCTATTTTCTTCCAATTTCATTGAGAATTTAATATTTCTTTCACCCTGGTTAAGTATAATAAAAAGCTATCTAAACTTTCTTTGCCATGCTGCCAGATCACAAAATAACCATCCATATATCTAACAAAAATTTTTGAGTCAGAATTACCTCTTACATTAAGCATTCCTCAAACTTCGTCGTGTAATTATTCGCTAAAATTGGAACTAAGCAATAACCCATTGCAAATCCTTGTGTCCATTCATAAAACATAAAAAGTGAAATATTTCCTAGTCAATAATAGGCTAAGGAGCCTTAAAATAAAGGATATACTCAACTTAATTCCCACCGTAATCTCTTAATACTCCTCCAGGGTGAGCATTAGAGCCTGAATAGCTCCTTAAACTGGAATATTTGTTTACATCGATACCACGTCAAAACTTACGAGTATATATTCTGAAATATTTTTCTAGTTCACTATTTTAACAAACTTAGAATTTTTACCGAACATTACCAAAGTTCTGTCATCTTCCTTAATTGTTTGTATTAAATTGTACTCTTAACACTAACTAACAATCTAGAGGGAAATCTTTCATTACGCATCTTTCGAACGCCATAAGCAGATGGTGCCCTAGAAGACACCAGTAAGTTTTGACGTGGCATCGATGTACGCAAATATTCCAGTTTATGAAACTATTTTAGGATTTAATGCTCACCCTGGAGGAGCACTCAGAGATTACGGAGGGAATTAAGTCCAGTGTAGCCTCCATTCTAAGGCTCCTTAACCTATCCTTGACTGATGTATATTTCATCTTTGACGGTAAGCTTTATGAATAAAAAAGCCTGTCAGTCTTTTGATTTAGTGATACTTAAGGCTTTTGTAAGAATGAGCCCCAGCTCTCACAATGTTCGTCACATGACAAACGAAGGCTCAGCCCATCTTAGCCCGAAACTTTGGAGGATGTCTCGTGGAATTCGTCAACCTGAACGTGATAGTAATGACAAGCGGCTGCAGTATAACGCGAATCAGCCGGCGTCTTCTGGTGAGATTGACTTGTGAATCTCTTCATCATGTACTTCCATAAGAAATGAAATTTTCGAAACCCGCATTTTCTTTTCTTTTTTTGTTATAATCTTCGTTGCATTAATTTATAGATATTCTTGCAGGAATTGAAATCCTGATTGTTTGTAGTTTCATTAGTTGGTACCATTGGCTGACTGAAACCACCATTTGCACCAGGATTATTATCAAGATTATTTTGAAATATATATATTAAGCTTTTAAATATTATCAGTATAGTCTTGATACCCTAATATTAAAAGATATTTCGCTCGCTTCAATATTCTTCACTGCTAAACATCCTGAATTCCTTGGGTTTTCGATGCTTGCTTTCCAATATGATCTCATAGGTATAAAAAAATTTTACCTGGATGCTTCTCTCTTCCGCTGCATATTATTACAATGCGCTCTTCATTTACACTAATAATATAATTTTATTGAATCCAACGATGTTACTATATTTAAGAGCATAAAAGTTTGCTTTTTCAATATTACGCATTTCTTGCAAAAATGAATTATATTTCCGACATTATACGAATACTAAATTTCCCCCTGAATTTCAGCTAATCGCTAGGTCAGATTTAACCCTGCCAGTGTCTGCAGGAGTATCTCGGAGCAGTCAAGAAGAAATCCTGCATTATTTGCCCGGAAGGGAAGGTCGCAGTTGTGCTTTGATACATAGTGCCGTTAGTTCTGCAATCCGCCAAGCTTTGACTCTTGAGCAATCCACGCAGGCTGCCTTCATCGCCTATCACGTTCGATTGCCCCATCTTGGTTGTTTGACCATTCAGAAGCGCATTCAGCAACGCCATATTGAAAGGGTCCGCCTCGGGTGGGACATCCAACTTCCTGGAGTGCCGAGCTCTCATTTTCTTAAGAATATCCGAAGTCGACTAATTCCCTTAGACTTTGATAATGAGGATTGATTTTTATATCCTATATTTCTTCAATTATACACTTGGTCGCTTGATTGACTTTTCCACACACCAAAACAGCTCATAAATGTTTATACACACTCTGTATTTGTACGTTCATCTCAACTTTTGTTCATATTCCTTCCCAATATTTCTATTTAAACTTCCTTTCATGTAGCCACATACATTCATTTTTATAATCCAAAATGACTTTCATTAGCTCATCTTTTAAGGGATCCTTCATTTTCATAATCGACACTTACGCCTGATACCTATTCACTTATACATAGTATATACTCTTTTCTCTTCCTAATTTTCACTAATGGTTCAATGCTTTACTCTTAATACTAAACTACTTTCCATATGTCTTAATCATTTTGTCAAAAGTTCTTCTTAGCTTAAAAAGTAATGAAAAATAAAGGAACATCCTGCTACTATTTTAACTTTTATGCTATTATTTTTCACATACTTATATATTCATATAACAGCATTCATTTTCAACTTCGTAAGCTCTAAAGTACTATATGTAGTGCAGTTAAAGTTCCTTTGTCTCAGATCTAACATGATCTTTTTTAGTTTCTCTACTCTCAAATATTCATTTACTAAATATCCTTATTATCAATATTCTGCTTGTTATGGCTTATTTACTGTCTTCCATATCTCTATTATTATGCACTTTTTTAACAATTTGGTTGTCCAAAGCCAATATCTAGATTCTTTTTGTGATTCTTTTGATTTATTTTCGATTACTATTATTTTTATTGCGCACTTTGCTAACCACATATCACTTATATGCTTTATTCTTTTCTATTGTTTTCAGATACCCTTTTGCATGCGGTTGATTAACAGTTGCTCTGCTGTTTTGTACTTTTTTTTCTCATATCTATTTTTTAAAAGTGCATTCACTCGCCATTACGTTATTAAGCTACTCTTTACTTTGCTTTAATCAG